TTGAGTTGCAATAAATGCAAAACTTTCTGCAGGTTCTTGTCTTTGTCGTCCACTCTATTCAGCTGGCTTTGAAAACACACCGCGAGAAGGTGGGGGCTGGGTGGTGAGGGTTACGGGGGCGAGAAACGCAAAAGTAACGCAATAGTTACTTTTACTAGTAACTAGTTACTTTTATTGTGGAGTAACTCAGTTATTAACTCAGTTACTTTTAGGGAGAAGTAACTAGTAACTATAACTAATTACTTTTTCAAAGTAACGTGCCCAACACTGTTTATATTATATATATATATATATATATGTGTGTGTATGTATATATTTATATATATATTCTTTCCACATTGTTAGAAGTTTTAGAAAATAAAAAAAATTGTCTTGAAGAGTGAATAGAGCAGATTGACAGACAATGTTGTTAAAGGCAAATTGATTATTTTTTTTTTTTTACAATTTTGGTATAGTTACTGCTCTAAGTGGGTTGCTCTGTCAGTTAAAGGCATGCTTTAGTCGCTATACTCTGATTAATGATTAAATGATTACTAAATTACATCATGATTATTCAAATAATTGATTAATCATGATTAATCAACTTAATTGTTTCAGCCCTAAAATGAAACTGTTACCATAGTTACAATTGGAGAAAATTACATATACATGTAGGACTGAGGTGAGCTGATGGAAAAAACTAAAACTAATTGTCTTGAAATATGCAGAGACAGCACATAAGCTGAGAAGAAAGAAATGGTGAAACTTGTAGAACTGGTATTTAAAACTTACCTGGCTCCTGTGATTGACAACCTGGAACACAGAACAAATGCATGCTTAGGTTTTGTGTTGAAAATTTTCCACTAAAGCAACTTGGATGACCTTGCACAAAAACTTCATAAGCTTTTTCTGCTTTCTTTTTCTTTCCCCATATTTTAAGTTTAAAACCACATTAGGTTTTGACCTGACTTAAAACCAGCATGAGAAAAAAGAGAACTGATATTTTTTTATTCAATGTTTTTCTTTAATAATTTTTTTTTGCAGTGATGCCAAATATCTTGGGGATTGTTTAAGGTTTTACCAGGTCATGCTTATTTTGAGAAACATTTTTTTCATTTACACTACTACATAACATCCCTGTAAATTACTGTAGCAAATTCCAACAAAAGAAAATGAAAAACAATCTACTGGACTTTGTTTCGAAGTTTAAAGACGTTTTACTTCCCATCCAGGAAGCTATCTCAAATCAAAATGTCAGGAATAGTGGTGATTTTGAGGTTTTATACAGTAGCCCAACAAAGCCTTGTGTTTGTTTTAAAAACATGCAAACTGAAAGGAACGACGGGCTCCACCCCCTTGGGATGGGGGTCGTTTTGGCTTCTTTTGTTAGCCTGCAATGCCCCATACCCGTCTAAGTGTCTGAAAGGTCGGTCGTTAGAGGGAATTCTTGGCCTGGCTGAATAGGCGAGGTCCTTTGCTCTGCTGTACAGGGGCTGGGACTGAGCATACCCAAACTGGGAATTTGTCATATCAGCAAGGAAATCCAGAAGACATGCAGCAGAACCCAACCCATATGTTGCTGGAGTCTCTGAAAAACTCAAGGGGATTTTCTCCAAACACAAAATCTAAGTACCCTTACCTTACAGCTACATTTTAAGCAATTTGTGTCAAGAATGTTTCTTTACCTCAAAGCTATATTTACTCATATTGGGTGTAAAAGAAATAGCACTAGCAGGCCAAGTGAATAATGCCGAGACCTGTCTGTTCTTTTAGGAACTATGCTTATTTACAAACACTGAACCCTAGGTAATAGACGCAACCCAACCTGTGATCAAAACTTACTCACACAGCTAGTCATTTTCATTAGGCGTTTTTAGTCAAAACGTACTTCATTAATGTAACTTCAGCAAAAATATTGTCTTAACAACAGAGGTGAGAGGGCATCGGCTGATGCTCATATGCACTGCACATGCAGGTGAGCAGCAGTTAACAAGCTGAATGCATTTCTGAATACATTTCTTTTAAAAAAGCTGAAAATAAAAAAAAAATACAATTTAGAATGCACAACATAACTATTTAGGAGAGTGATGACCTAGTGGTAAGGGCAAAGAGCCATCCTGAGATTGTGAATCCGAAACCTACTCCCACAGACTGCCACTCTGGCTCTCTAAGCAAGATCCTTAACACCCGATTTTTCCCCGGGCGCTCCACGGTGGCCGCTCCTCAACTGAATGGGTTAAAGGCAGAGGTAAATTTCTCCAATGTGGATCAATAAGGTTAAATTATTATTATTTCAGGAGCCTTTACCTCCAAAAATATATGAGCTTAAATTAACTTACTCCGATGTCACTGTTGATTTTATAACCACGGTGTTTAGTCACAGATGTTTAGGTCTTGAACTTAAGTGTTTTTCATAAAAAATTGTATTGTCCAAAGTCACTTGCGGTGCTATTCATTCCTGAATACTGAACAGACAAAGACTGTCTTTCACTAGCAGCGATTGATCTTGGTTGTAAGCACATTACGAGCTATCAGTGCTAGGTCAGGGAGGCTTTTTGTATGAACCTTCCACCAGAGAAAATACTAGCATCCTCCTTTGGTGTCTTCTGTTCAGTGTAGGATGTAAAATTGGCTTGTATGGGATTAACTGTGCTTGTCAAATGGCAGGAGAGGACATATTGTACAACCAACTAAATCCTTTTCTAATTTTTGCAAAAGTATTGCAGCTAAAGCCAATGCAGCTAGCTTTGTTTTGCTTCAACCTTCTGCCTCATGCTGATGTGTTGACATCATACACGTCACTGCATTTCATTGACCCGAAACATCAATGATCTGTTCATCATCTGTAACAACATCATCTGTATCAATGCTAACACATCTGCTGGCTCCAGGCAAGATGTATTTTTTGGGTGTTTGTGAATCTTACAACAATACATCTTGCTTGGAAGGTGAATTTAAACCGGCCTTTACGATAATCTATATACCTTCAAAACTGAATATATTTTATTGCTATTTCTTCAAAAGGATTATGTAGCTGGCCTATTTAGTGACACTGACATAGTCTAATATCAATTTGACAAATTATGTACTCAAATGTACTCCAAAATCAATAAAGAATTTTGTTAAGGCTAATTACTAAGCATATCATATGTAATGAAGTAATGCTTCCCTGCCAAAGATGACATTGGTGAAAAAACCTTTACCTATTTAAATAAGTGGTTTTAAATAAATGATCCTTTTGTTTTTAAGGATTTCTTCTTACTTGACTTTTTAAGTATAACAACAGTAACATTTCTTTGTACTGTACAGACAATTGTAGCTTTTGTCCCAAACTGGTGCTTAGCAAAAGCAATTGATATTTCTCAGAGGAAAAGAAAGGAAAATATGAAATGAAAATATTTCTTTCTTACCATGGCATATGAGAATGATCAAGGCAACACACTCGGAGAGCTTTTGGAGAGCCATCTTCAGAGTCTTCTGAGCTGATCAAGTGTCAAGCTTTTATAAACCTTACCTTAGATGTTTAGCTACACCCCTAATGCCATTCATTCTATTGACCACTGTAAATAATCCATCACAAGCTGTATTATTAAAGGTTTCAGCTGAAAACACGTTTGTCCTGATATATGAGTGGGGTGGTGCTTTCAGCAGATAAAACAGATCCTTACAACAATAACAAAGGATTGCAGTCAACTGGATTTTTTTCTCTCCACTCCTTTTTCTTTCTTTCTTTCTTTCTTTCTTTCTTTCTTTCTTTCTTTCTTTCTTTCTTTCTTTCTTTCTTTCTTTCTTTCTTTCTTTCTTTCTTTCAAGAAATTCCCTGGCCAGTAGAGAAATATAGTCTCTCCAACGTGTCCTGGGTCTCTCTCTAAGTCTCCTCCCGGTGGGACATGCCCGTAACACCTTGCCACGGAGGCGTACATGAGGCATCCTAACCAGATGCCCAAGCCACCTCAACTGAACTGAAGAACTGATGAATTCTTTGATTTCTATCTAGAATAAATTCCCACTTCTCTGAAACATTTTAACGTTGTATTTTCTAAGAAAGTCTGACATATTTAGCTAGGAATTTGTTGTTTTCATTGCCATTAGAAACTATTCAAACTCTAAATAACGGTGCAAGCTCTCTGAGCTTAATGGATCACAGACTAAAGGAACATATGCTGAGAGACTGGTTGTGCTGGTTATTCAGTGGTATTTCCACAAAATGTGCAAATTTTTAATTTACCTCACAGCTAGATTTTTATAAAAATAATAATAAAAGAAAATGTTCTCAACCTCAAAGCTTCATTTAGTTTTATCAGGTAGATGATCATTTCCGATTAAAGACAAAGGAATTAATGTTAATTATCTCTCTGAAATGACACCTGTTAGTAAATAGGGTGTTTAATGCAGCTAGTGGAATTTTCCCCTCAAGTTAATGTTCTAAATGAAAGAACAAGTCATACATTTGACAATTTTAGTACTGCTTTATAAATAACTATCTAATAATGTTAGTTGTAAGAGTGTTAATAGTAACAATACTTATAATATTACTACTAATAATAAAAATACTAACCATAATAATAATAATACATTGAAGTTTAATCAAAATCCTAGCTGATTGAAAAAGTACCCTTCCAACTATGAAGGCAAACACAAACAAGCAGATGCACTGAAAAATAAAAAGAGCAGAAAATCGTCCTTACCTATGAAATAAAGTAACCAAAAAGCCAAAGGTAAAGGCTCGGATGATTCCAGGCTTCAAATGAGTGTTAAAAAGGTTTACATAAACAATTTCAGTAAAATCAATAGAGAAAGTTAAACAAACAAAGCAAGCCATGTCAGTGCTATAATGACAACTACCTTGCTGGATGTTGAAGAGATCTGAATTCTGTGTATTTGGGAAGAAAATGCCTCTGAAAATCCGATAAGGCAGCCATTTTATAGAACAAAATACAACATCATTGTTGGTAAATAATTGTTATAACATCTATAGTTAAACCATACTTTGTTTTCCATTTATTAAACAACCATGTGTAATGATTTAACCACTAGTCAGGGCTTACAGATGCAGGAAACAACGACTGACATTGAGGCTCAGCACACTGCTAAGCAGAATCATTACTGTGAAATTGTGTGACAGGGTAAGAAAGCTAGTATTGTTATGAATGTCTAAAATTTCATGATTAGGCAGGCTTACTGTAAGGAAAGGACACTGTCTGCTCATGTGCTTTTTTGTTATCTGAGAACCAAGCCAGAACTGAACCGTGGCGAGCCCTACACTAGTACCATGTTAGCGCGGTTCAGTTCTGTCTGGCACGGTCCGGTTTAGTTGTGCATGCCAATTACACTCAACAGTTATCTCGGTTACCGTGCTCAGACCAATCTCTGCTAAGTTTCAAAAAGGTCGCAAGCCAGTTTGAACCAGGGATTGAAAAGTCATAGAGTTAACTTTATAGAAAAGGCCATATTTACCCATTTACATGAAACATAAATCTGAAAATCAAAAAAATGTCTGGTCAGGTAGTTTTGAAATCTTTTTGATGATATGGCAAAATATATATTCTTCCAATATAACACTCATATGAGTGTTATATTGGAAGAATAAAAAACACTTAACCTTACTTACCCAGGATGATGCTAATTAATAATAAATTAGAGGCCCACTTGTTATCTATCGGTACTGGCCACCTCATCACTTTACAATGTATTTTATTTTAACTATTTGAAGTCTACAAATACACCACTATAGTGCAATGTTACAATCCTGGCGTGATCTGTATATTGACCTAACAAATCATTTAATATATCTCAAATGAAGCCAATTTTGTTAAAATATTTTGTTAAAATATTTTCTATTTTGTAATTATTCCTTGACCAGGAATATTCTATATGCTTATTCACTAAGGGCTTTGATATTTAATGTGAGAAATATTTACTATTATTTTTGTTATTATCAGACATCTACTAGATCAGAGGTGCCAAATGTTGGCCTTTGAGGACCATAGTCTTGCAGGTTTTAATTCTTTCCCTGCTTCCAGCTTTTCATTGATAACTTATTAACAGGCTTTTGCTTAACTACATTCGGTTAGGTATTAGACTGAGGACACAAAATTCCACTGAGACAGTGGTAGGTGGTTAAAAGATTTATTCAATGAGCTCTGCAGGCAAAGCAGGGAACTGATCAGCAACAGCTGCAGGAAACTCAGGAGAATAGAGATAATGTTAGTGGCTGTACTGTCCTTAAGTTTCAATAGATCAATCAGAAAATAAGCCACTATCCTTCTCAAAGTCCCAAGGAAGGAAAAAGGAAATGGGACATGATGTAGGACTCAATTGGAGAAATGTAGATGAAATGTAGGATGGATCATCATGGTGCAGGGCAATCATAGCCAAACAGTCACAGGGTTCACTATCTTAGAAATGGGAAATTGATCAATGAAATGAGGTGCCAACTTATGACATTACATACGCAGAGGAGAGCCTTTGTGGACAACCAGCTCTTATGGCCAACTTGGGGACAGGAATCCGGCAACATTTCGGCAGTTCTGGACTGCACTGAAGACATTGTAAGTTTGGTCTTTCTAGCTGTTCTGCAGACCTGATGTCACCTTAAAGGCACAGACTGAGCTGATGGGACCATAGCCTCCCTCTCCAGGATGTTAAACACTGGTGGCTGAAAACCATAGACAACATTAAATGGTGAGAGACCAGTGGTGCTTATATGAAGATAATTAATTGTATGTTCATCTCAGGGGAGATTGTGTGACCACTTAGAATGATAAGAATCACACAGCACATGAAGTTTGGTCACAACCTCCTGGTTTGCCCTCTCCGTTTGACCATCTGTTTCAGGGCGTAAACCGGAAGTCAAGCTGATGGAGATTCCCAACAGAGAGTAGAATCCTCTCCCAAAAAAAGAGATGAATTAGGGACCTCGATCTTACACAATGTCAGTAGTGTGAGCATGGAGACGAAACACCTCTCCTCAGCAGAGAGCGGTTTCTTCAGGGAAGAGGTTAGGATTGAGGGGTGCAGATTGAATTAGTTGGAAGTCAAAGCAGGAGACAGAGGAATGTAAACAGCAACTAGTTCACAGGCTAGAACTATGACACTGAAAACCTTTGAGGGCCGACTTTGGGCAGTCCTGCTTGAGGTGTTGATTCATTTAGGGTTCTAAATTGGGGAAATGGGGGATCCTGGAAACAAACAGCCCTCTATGACAAAGGAAGTGGGTGTTTACTTTAAAACATGTGGTCAGGAAACGAGAGGTGGAGAGGAGGCTAGAAAAGACACAAACAGGACTGAATGTCCTGTTTGGTCTGGGGATGCCTTGTAAGTGAGTTTAAAATTTAACTCATGTAGTACTGTAATGTGATGAGGAAAAAGGAGAGACATGTATACCTTAGTTAAGCATTGACATTTTGAAGCATGCAAGGTAAGCAAAGAGAGGCTTGGAGATTTCCCAAGTAGGGTGAGCAATGTTTATGGAGGCCAGGGGGCCAGACCTTTATTAGTTTGAATGACTAGCTCAAGTTGCTGAATCATGCTGCATTCTGGAGGCATACTTCTAAGTGAGCTCTATTTATGCGTGAATGTGGGACCATGATTAAAAAAGCATGTGCCGGCGACGAAAACATGTACCGTTTGAGTTAAATGGATTATCAACAAATCAACACTTCCAGGTTAGCACTAAGTCAGTTTTCACACAAATATCAATCAAATTCAGATTATTTATATAGCACCAATTAACAACACCTCACTTTAAGGGGACAGTACAGTCAGATTGTTTAAAGGTTTCTGTTAAAGGAAAACAAGTTGATTATATCGAATCATGGACTTGTAAAACTTGCTCCACCTGGATGAGCTTGTGGCATTTATTTTAACTTGCATTTTGTCTTTGACTCTTGAGCAATCCTTCACACTGAGCAAGCATGCAGGGACAGCAGAGAGGAGAACGTTTTCAACAGGAAGGAACCTCGAGCAGAATCAGGCTCAGCGTGAGCAGCCTTCTACCAAGGCCAACTGGGCTTCAAAAAGATAGAAGTAGACACACAAATATAAGCAGATATTCTAAAGGTAACTGTTAACTAGCTCCAAAGGCGACCCTGTTACGGAAAGACACAGCCAGATGAGCTCTGAGCCAGTTTGGATGCCAGAGGATGAAAGAGAGTATACATAGTTCATCACAGTAAAAGAAACAGGAATTAATAAAGAGACCTGCCCAAGTTCCAACATCGATAAACAAAGGTGTTGTTGGCAGCAGCCAGGCTGATATTAAAACCAGGATGAAATCACAGTCCACAAGAGTAGACCAGATGAAGCTACTATGACAAGAAGAGCAGAAAGAACATAACATTATGGGTGGAACTTAACAAATACTGCAGAATGGGGGAATAGAGATAAAATACAGTAGAAAGAGGAAAAGTGGTCCCTTTGTTCTCCAGAACTTAAAATAATAGCAGCATAAATATAGAAAATAACTCAGGATAACCAAACCTTTTTGGATGAGCTATGAGAAAGGTAGAGCAAAGGAAAAACACCAGTCAACCGAGCCCAGGCACCAGACACCCCCCAGTGCCCCCCAATGGACTG